GAGGTAAAGACCAAAGCTGTGCAGCTTTACTTTTGCAGTTGATGTTGCTACTTTTTAAATGATTTTTTTGTTTTAATCCCTAGTAGAAGTTTAATGGAATAGTGAGCTCCGTTCATTATTTTAAATAGAATAACTTGCAGTAGGCATCCCCAAAGTCCGTCCTCGAAGGCCGATGTCACGCAGGTTTTAAAGGTTTACCTGCTTCTGATAAACCAGACAAAATGTGAGATTAAATGTGTAATTTAGTCTGGCCTCGAGGAATGAGACATCGGTAGATTGTTCATGAGAACAATCCGTTGTTTTTCAAACCGAGGTCTGTGACTATTGAACAACGCTCTGACCAATGAGCACAACTGACTGTGGTGTAGGAAGCGCGACAGAAAGCTGGTGGGGGAGCGTAAACAAACAGCCTGTAATCCTTCTTAAAAATAAATGAGCATAGAGCCTCTTCCTGCTCACGTTTCAACCAAAACTCCAAGTCTAATCCTTCCAAAACTGATTCCAAAGCTGAGTCAAACGAGAACTGTTCAATAGTTGTTGCCATCTTCCTTGTTGTGCTTTCTCCAGCGTCGTGCAGCTTTGTCGTCACGCCCTCAAAACCCCGCCGGCTTTGCATCCAGAAATTCAAAACCCATCTCTGCATTGTGATTGGCCGCCAGTTCTAAGGCCTGGGGAATTGATCGAGGCTAGATCACTCACAGGAAAAAAGGATTTTGGCCGCTTGCCAGTGGGGCTAGTTTATTAGGCTAGATTAACAGGCTTTTGCTGAACCGCAAGCATCAGAATCAGCTGTGCTAAAGCAGGGAAACCTCTTAAACCTGCAGGACAGCGGCCCTTGAGGACCAACTTTGGGGATGCCTAATAGGCTAAATGTACTTCCAACATCTTCACCCACCGACGATCTGAGATGGTTATTCCCAACCCTCACTCCCAGGATCCTCTCACCTCCTTTCACCGTGTTAAACGCAGTTTCACTCCGAGGAAAGCGGATTGTTAAATTCACGGATCTTACCTAAGTTGTGGGACTCGTTGGTTTTAGTGATAAATCATTAAAAGAAGCAGGAAGTGAAACAGTCAGAGGACTCCTGATTAAAACCAGAGGAACCCAGTCTGGTCTCCTCCTTTTATTTACTCTTTCTTCATTTCAGAGCTGATAAGGCAGCTGTTATTAAACAATCCTGAAGCCCGACTGATTAGAAAAATCATTAAATTATTATTAAAGTAGATCAGTAACAGAAATCGTCCTTGCATCCTGCTCCGTCATCCCCCCCTCCTCCTGTTTCTGTCGGATGGGTTCACTCTCTCCTTCACCGCCTTCTTAGTCCTGCTCACCACGGCGTTACATTACTGATCAATTAGCAACACTTGCTGTTAATGAAACCTGCCAGTGTTTCTATCCTGTCAGCAGGTCCCTCACTGTCTAATTGATTCCAGTCTGCAAGGCCTGAACATTCCATACATCAGCTGTTAAATGAACACGCCCGGAAAGTTCTTCTTTTTTCTCTCTCAAAATTCTGTCTCCTCTGTCACTTCCCGATCCGTCCCAGAAGCACATTTGCACATCCAGTTAGACATCTGTGTAACCTGAGATTATATTTTGTTAAAAAAAACCTAAATGACGTTTTTCTCTCCCCAAAAATAGTAAAGGTACTAAAATATGATGTGTTAAAGGTTATTAATATATTTCCTAAGAAAATAAATGCCTTAAAATCCTTTGTGTTTCATCACTCGTCTCTGCCCGATCTGCACCAGAAATGGGATCCTACGCTACTTCCAGTCGCTAACTTTTCCGGATTTAAAAATAGATCAAATCTTTTTAGGTTTTATGTTTTGCTTTCATTTGAACCTTTTGCTATAAAGTGCGTAATCTAAAGAAACAACTAAAAGGCACATAAACATGGTTTAATCATGGTTTTGCCAGACTGCTCTGAGCATGTCCCATGATGACGTCAGAGACGCGGTTTAACGAAGATGTAAAAAGCATCAAAATTGTCTCACAAAAGTCATAAAACATTTTTTTAAATATGTGCAGTTGCATTCTTTAGATAGTTAAGGATAGAAATAAGTAATTTTAGTACCATAATTACATTATTTATGGACACCCGGATGTATATGTGTTCGTGCATGCGCAGGACGGATCGGGAGTTAAAAGGGAGTTTTTCCTCTCCACTGTCGCTACAAGCATGCTTGGTGTGAGGGATTGCCTTTGAATCAATCTGACTGTATGATCTGGTGAAATGTAAAGTGCCTTGAGATGACGTCTGTGTGAATTGGCGTCATAGAAATAAACAGAATTAAATTGAATTGAAAAAAATATCCAACTTTAAGAAAAATGACAATCCTGCTGATGTTAGATTTGCATGTTATGCTTTAACATGTTTTTTTTCACAGATTTTTGTCTAAACGTGCTCAGCAGCCGCCTTATTTCCCTCTGATCTCTCCCCTGTCTGCAGATCGAGTGCATGGTGGCTTCAGAGATGATGCAGAGGTATAAAAAGCTTCAGTTCGAGCGCGGTGAGTCAATCTAAAAGCAGCTGTGGTGCGTCAGCGATGGCTCCAGATTGCTTGAGTGGGCGATTCGTGGGCTGCTCAAGAAAACAGAGATGCCGTCTTTACTATAGCGCAGGACAGGGATGATGGGAGTCGGATCTTTCTGGAGGGATTTCATCCTGTTGCTTGTTTGTGGGAAGAGCTTTAAGTTCTGGTTATCCTTCTTTGCTCCCAAGTTTTCCTGAAACTTTTATTTAGACTTTTTTTTTTTGTGTAGTTTATTAGGGGAAAAATATAAAAACTGTTCACTGTGGACTTTTTTCACATTTTCTCATGTTGTAAAAACAGATGTTGGTATATTTTCTTTGTTTATTGAGACAATGTTGGATTTAATTATTGTTGCAGAAAAAAGGAAGTTTTGTAAAAGGAATTTTTTTAAAAAGAAATGCAGAAATGAAAGTTTTACACTTTTTTTATTCAAATAATAAAAACAGAATTCACTCCATAGAACAACAGACTAGTGAATAATTGTGAAGTTGTAGGGAAATCATATTTAAATGTCAAATCATTCTGCCTTAAACATGTATATAAATGTACTCTTTATCAGACGATATTGTCCCAAAATATAGAATATTTCTGTTTATAAAAATAAAAATCCTGTCTTAAAATTTGTGAGGGGGTTATGTGGGGCTATATTATGCCTTAGCTGTTAGTGGGTCTTAAAAGGCTCAGATTTAACATGTTTTGTAGGTTGAACACTTCTGTTTATTTCTTTGGTCTGACTTCTTTTTAAATTTCCAAATATTTTATTTCTGGATGATGCACATTTTAAAACTCCTTCTTCTGAAATAAGAGAATAAAAAAGGAAACATTATTGAACATTGACAATAATCTGGTATAATCCTGTTCTTTCAGAGGTTCTGCTGGACCCGTGCAGGACATGGTGTCCCTCTTCGACCTGCCAGGCCGTATGCCAGCTGAAGGAGACTGATTCTCCAGCCCCGCCTCAGCTGGTTCAGTGCGCCGTCTGTGCCCTGGAGTTCTGCTCCGCCTGTAAGGCCAACTGGCACCCCGGGCAGGCCTGCCAGGAGAGCAACCTGCCCATCGCCTCCTTCCTGCCAGGAGAAAACAGGTAAAACACATTAAATCCCAGATTAAGAAGTTGGTGGACGCTTTTAAAATGTTCGTAAATTGCTGTTGGTTTATTTAATAGCTTTAAAGTTCGCTCTTAGCTGAAAACCTGAAGAATCTGCTTAAAAGCACCATCTTGTCCTTTTGGGTTTCAGCTCCTTTTATAAGAACGAAGAGGACGACGCCCCCATCAAGCGCTGTCCTAAGTGTAAGGTTTACATCGAGAGAGACGAAGGATGCGCACAGATGATGTGCAAGAACTGTAAACATGCCTTCTGCTGGTACTGTCTGGAGTCCTTGGACGTGAGTTGGTTGCATTTTATCTCACAATTGTTCACTTAAAAGTAAAATCATGATGCAGAATTGTTTAAAGATATAAAGGTCGATCTTTTATTTCCGGATGGATCATCTAAATAAATGGTCCTCCTAACCGTCAATCATTCTGTTGATATGTTTACGTAAGGCCGTCCTACGTGCTCATCCCATTAGCTTCTTTTTCTGTGCATGCACACTTTCAGGCATGTATCTGTGGTGAGCTACAGGTTCAGACAGAAGGTCACCTTTCACACCGCAGTTCTTTAAAAATGGCCGAGGGTCGTAAGAGAAAGTGTCTAAAAAGAAAAGAAAGGCCTCAGAAGAGGCAGATAAATCCCACAATGCTTTGTGTGAAGAGCTCTGCTCAGAAAGCATTATGGGATTTTCTGTTGCCGTAGGCTGTTGCTACCCAACAGCGGCGACTGATAACAAAGATGGCGCAGGCACCGTGGAGTAAAGGTGGAGTTACGTCACCAACAGGAGCAGAAAGTAGTTATCATCTGTCGAACGGTCAGTTAACTGTGTTCACTATAAAGTCCACTATATAGTTCCTATTCTACATAATGATTGAGGGATTTCAATTCAGTTTAATTCAATTCAGTTTATATCTATAGCGCCAATTTACAACACATGTCATCTCAGGTCACTTTCCAGTTCACCAGATCATCCAGTCAGATTGATTCAAAGTTTTCTATCTAAGGAAAACCAGCTGATTGCATCGACTCATTGACTCTTCAGCAATCCCTCACACTAAGCATGCTTGCAGCAGCAGTGGAGAGGAAAAACTCCCTTTGAACAGGAAGAAACCTCCAGCAGAACCAGGCTCTGTGTGAGCGGCCATCTGCTGAGGCCGACTGGGGTTCAAGGAGACAGAAGCAGACATAGAAAAAGAAGCATAGATACAAAATGCAACAGTAAAAGGCGGCCCAGTCCAGGAAACACACAGCCAGGCAGACGAGCTCTGAGACAGCTCCCATGTCAGAGGATGAAGAGAACACATCCAGTTAGTCACAGTCAGAGAAACAAGAATACACTGAAAAACAGGCTGATCTCTAACATCTATAGACAAAGGTGTTGATGGCAGCAGCACAGCTGATATTTCTCTCCAGGATTTAGGGGTTCGGGCCGACGTTCGGACAGTAAGACTATATGAGCTATGAGAACAGCAACTATTAAACAGAGCGTGCACGAGGAGAAATGGGCTTGTGCACGCTCTCGCACTGAGAGTCGATCATTTAGCTTCAGTGAAGGCTGGAGGGCTGAGATTTTTTAACTCACTGCTTTTACATAATCCTAGGTTTCCATTTTGTCTGAACAGCCGGGCTGCTGATGGTCACTTTTAACACGGTGTGTTTTTGTGTGTCAGGATGACTTCCTGCTGATCCACTACGACAAAGGGCCGTGTCGGAACAAACTGGGCCACTCCAGGGCGTCTGTTATCTGGCACAGAACGCAGGTGAGAACACAGACTCCCTTCCCTGAGACGTGTGGCGCCTCCTTCGTCTTTTCTTAGCCTCGCTGCGGCACGCAGAGGCGCGCGTGCTCTCCTCTTCCTCTCGTTCTATCCCTTTGTGGTGGGGTTGTGTTATCCTGACAACACAACAGGTGAAGCAGAGCGTTGTCCACGTGCAGCAGCAGCAGAGCGGCTGTTTCCATACAGACCATTACATGGAAACACCGCTATAAAATGGGTTTATGTAACAGCGCTGGTTTTAGATGCTTCAAATGGTGTTTTACAAGTCTCTGATGTGAGAGTGCAAACATTTTAAAGGATCAGAGCTTTTCAATGCACTGCAAAAAATGTAAATCTAAATAAGTCGGTTTTTTTCTTAAAATAAGTGCATTTTGTCTTGAATTGAGGAAGTAAGTGGGAAACTTTGCCATTGGAACAAAATAATTTACATTTAACATAAGATAAAAACAATTGCAGTCTTCTTCAAGTGCATATGATCTAATTGTCTTATTTTAATAGTGAAAATATTCATTCTATTGGCAGTTTATCTTATTAACCTACTCAAATTAAGGGTAAATAACTTAATTTAAGAAATGTTTACCATCTAGATCGCTTCTGCAGTGTAGGAACCTTCTCCAGGGACCCAAGTTTTCTGTTTTCATTATTCATATTAACTCAACAGCATTGAAGGAGGTTATCAGCCTTAAATCAGAATTCTAACTGCTCTCAATTTAATTTTTAATGTTTTAACGGCCTCATGCTGTTCGATCTGCAGTTACGTCCTTCAGGCTTAACATTTTGAAGGACTGTTGTGGACATTTCCCCACCAACTTTTCCCCTTTCTGTTACCTTTGGCGTTTACATATGCCAAAGGTAACAGAGGTTGGGTGCAGCTGACTGTGTTCAGAGCGGGGTTTTTTTGTCGCTTTAGGACAGATCCGCAAACGATAGAGATCCACAAACGATAGAGATCCGCAAATGATAGAGATCCGCAAACGATAGAGATCCACAAACGA